ATCAGAAACTCAAATTTTATTTTCTTTTCCGTATCTTATATGACTACTGAAAAAATCCTCTATAGGCGCAACCGACACATAATCGGATCGACTGCAGCCTGGGAGGTATATGTTGGCCGCTGAATGACTATTCCTTTACTAATCAAACTTAATTCAAATGAATACTCTCTCAAACGATATAAAAAGTTAGTTGTGTGAGACATGGCACGATTTTAAGAGGTTTCAAAATTTCATTTTCCCAATATACTTATGCAGCTTTATTATAGGTATTTAAAACTTTAACTGCGTTTTCTCCAAAAAGGCAAATATTCGTAAATTGCAGACAAATGAAATACTTTTCAAACTCCTCTCGTGTTTCCCTAAGTATAGGTACGTAGATAAGTGACTTTCATTTTAATTCAAAGGAAACGTTGAAGATGCTTCGCGAAAATGACAGCAATGGAGTCACTTTTTAATATTTTTCAAAGTGAGGTTACTTTTTTATCATTATATTTTATGCTTAATAACTTCGTATTCTATGACCTCTCTTTCCATCCAGAAAAAAGAAAAAACTGCCAAAGAAACCCTTGTTTTCCCCCTTGAAGTTATAATACATGGATGAAAAATGAATAGCTCTATATATGCATACATACATAAGCACATATGTATTTATATGTATATAACTAAGTGGAAGTTTATATGTATATAACAAAGTGGAAATTGTAAACTGCTAGTAAAAGGGGATGCATCTCAATGGATTCCTTAGCAGTCCCGATGTCTCATCGGTCTATGCGAACTTGTAACATTCTGTCAAGAAAACATCGTTTCTATAGAATGTTTCACCACGTAAAGGATGTAAGCACTTTTTCCAATTTGGAGGTAAATCTTGAGTATCGGTCATATTACATCTTATATTCAAGTTAAGCAATAAAGCGCTCACGCTTACATGATGTGCTACGCAATAAATGTATTCTTAGGCACCATTATTTGATCACTAAATTTTGTTGAGAAACCTATTAGAACTTTTGTAAGCTTTGTACTGCGCGCGTATGTGAGTATTAATTAATTTATAAGTTACTCGAGTAATAGTTAATATAACAATAGAGTCTATTATAAATTTATAACTTTGCTTAAACCATGTATATCTCTATATAAAGGCTTTCTTTTCATCATAAACCCTATATATTTTAAGTTTCAAATAATAGACCTATATGATCCAAATTCTCTACGTTAGTTTAGTGTATGTGTGTGTGTGTGTTTTTTTTATTGTTTTTTGTATTCAACAGATACTGCTGGGTCTTAATTGCAGCATGCACGATTCGCCATCCCTGGCGCATACGTACTAAAAACTACCCCCCACACACACTTCGTCTACCGCCCTCCCCCGCGGGACCACCGTTAGGTATTACTTCGCGGGGGCTGGTTGTCGGTAGCACGCTTCTGATGGTGGGACCTCAGTGGAATGCACTATCGGCTTCCACTCCCTCTGCTCTCCACCCGTTGTCTCTCCAATCGCCGTAACTTCACGAGAGTAGTGTTAGCGAAAGCGTCTATGGCGTTCCAGGCTGCTGTACTGCCGATCATTTCTTTCGTGATCTCGTTCGGCTGCATTTGAGGCCTCCCATTCTCAACAGCAGTGGAACATTACGTGCTCCGCATCTCCCTCCGTATCTGCGCATATCGGACAGTTAGGCGAGCTGTCGTGCCCGAATCTGTGCAGATGCTTCCGAAAACAGCCATGGCCACTCAGAATCTGGGTTAGGTAATAGCTTACTTCGCCGTGGCGTCTTTTAACCCATCGTCTTATGCTCGAGATAAGAACGAACGTCCATTTTCCTTTGGTCGTTCTTTCCCACTTCGACTGCCAAATCCTTAACGAGGCCATCCGCTCCTCGCTTCTTATAACATGCGAGGAGAGCTCGTTGCCGCGACGCCGTTTGTAGATGCGGCTCCTCTCATCGGCCAGAATGTCGACTGTCAGAGTGCCAGCTAGCACTAGCGCTGCCTCTTCCTACACGGTACGGAATGCGCAAATCTGCCTCAGGGCGCTAAGGCGATATATTGCCGCCACCTTTCGGTACACTGCCTTCACCTTGAGTGCACTGGCCCAAACTGGGCTTCCGTATATTATGACTGAGGTTATCACCTTGGCTATTACCCTTCGGCTGGTGAATTTCGTGCCTCCAATATTTGGCGTGATCCTTGCTAGTGACGCCTGGATGCCTGCAGCTTTCTCAGCCGCGTACTCAACATGGAACTTAAAATTGAGTCGATGGTCAAGCATAACTCCAAGGTATTTCAGGGCAGGAGTTGACCGCACTGTGTGCTGACCGACTCGTATGCAGCATGTTTCCACGCTCTTCCTGCTGCTTATTAGGACCGCTTCCGTTTTGTGCTCTGCTAGCTGCAGCCCCATCTCTTCTAGCCACAACTTCACTTTCACGATAGCCTCATTAGCTCTCGCCTTTACCTGCGCGACGTGTTTTGCAACCACTACGATTGCTATATCATCGGCAAAGCCGACGATCTTTGCCCCGGTAGGAAGTTCAAACACGCCGTTGTACATTATATTCCACAGGAGAGGACCAAGGACTGACCCCTGTGGAACACCCGCTGTTATTTTATGCGATTGTTTTCCATCATCGCTATCGTACACTAACGTGCGGTTCGAAAGGTAGCTTGTTACTATCTCAAGTATATACCTTGGAACCCGTATCCTTATGAGGGTTTTGCAGATAATCCCCCAGTTCGCCGAGTTGAAAGCGTTTTTTATGTCTAGCTTAACGACGGCGCAGTACTTTTTATCACCGCCCCTCTATCGGTCTCCGGCTATGGCGTCTGAGGCAAGCGCCACGACATGGCTTATGGCATCTATTGTAGACCGCGCTCTACGGAATCCATACTGGTTATCCGAGAGAGCGCGTCTTTCTTCAACCACAGCTAGCAGGCTGTGTGTGTGTGCGTGTGTGTGCTACTACGGACCAGTTTTTATCATAATATATTAAAAATTAATCCTTTTTGTGAAGGGCTTACTATTCATGAGAAATTTTATATGGAGAAGAAGAATTATTCCGGTGTGGTTCAAATTTGATCCACCTAATTTTTATGTGAAGTTACTATCATAAAAAATTTTTACCATAAATCATTAAAAATTAGAATAATTAACATATGAGCGTTTATATTTCCTGAGAATCCTTACGTGCTGTGGTATCTCCAAAATAGACCTACATGGTCCAAATTCGATTAGGTAGAGATTTAGTTTTCATAGGAACGGTTATAAGAGGGGGGGTTCAAAAACTTCTTCCAGTCGAAGCAAATTTTTCGCATCAGTTTAGAAATGAAATTCAAATTTTTTTTTTAATGTCACGACTTTTTCAAAGAAGGCGGAGTGGTCAAAAAAGTGGACCAATGCGTACCATTTTTAATAGCGCTCTTCCTTAACGTCAAAATACGTTAGCGCAACAAATTTTCTCGAAATATCTCAAAAAATGCGACCTGCAGACTGATCCCAAATTTACATGGACAGACATCAGATGTGATAGGCAAACTTATATCGGTATAGCAATCGATGGCTCTTCTGGGTGCTAAATACGTGCTCACAAACTGAATGCACTCTTTACCACAAGTGGTATAGGACATAATTGTATCGAGTCGACTCTTGACTAAACGTTAAGAGTAAACTTCATAAATTAAAAGTGAAGAAGCAGCGAAAACTTAAACACAAAAAAAGGAAAAACAAGAAAAAAGCATGCACATAGCGACGCGTTCACAACCAGTATAGATCCAAGCTAGGAGGGAACCATTAAGCCGATGCAAACACGCAAAAGCTTGGCATTCGATATTAGTGAAGCTTAGTTTACGGATCATCCATCCAAAGGTCAACATATTAAATATTAATTTAGGTAGACGTAACGTAAGCAGTACGCGCATGTGGACGTGAGTTGATTTGATAATATTATTAAAAGAATCCGATAGTGAGATAATTCATTTATTGATAATATCACTTAAAGTTTTGCAGAGAAGCCGGAATGGATTGAAAAGCTGGTAATTATATCTACACTGACTAAGGCGCTCAGAAAAGTTCTATAAGAGCGATTAGGAACATTGAAATCAATCTCCGCTAATAAAAACGGGGAGTCCAGAGTATCTTATATTAGCTTAACTAGGAATGAAACATCTACCACCAAAAGCCTACCTTTCTGAAGATAAGTCTAGAGGTATCAGTGCATTTTCTTAAAATAGCAAAGAGACAAGCGGATGGCATGCCAAATAGTTAACGACGAAAACCAAAACATTGCTTCTAAAGTGTTTCTATTGAATCAATGTAACATAATGATCACACGATCGAGGCATATTCAAATGTTGGTCTCGCCACACTCATCTATAACCTTTTTATTACATATAACTCACCAAACCCTCTGGAAACCTAGCGCTAAATAAAGCTACGCGCTGACCTAGCTTCATTTACGGGGCCCTCATTGTGCAGATTAAAATGTGGTCTTTGATGAAATACAATCCCCAAAATCAATGAGCGAACGTACATTTTCCAAGTTTTTGCAATTTCGAGTTGGGAAGTGATAATACGAGCGAAAGCGGATAATTCAAAAGAATAAATGAACAGCTTTTGGTCAGGTGTAGCTAGGACTTAAAGCCAATGGATCGGAGGGAGGGTAATATTATATTGTGACTAATGGGTGTAAAAGCTACATTTTAATAAAAATTTTGGAACAATAATGTACGAATATGTGTAATTTCGAACACAAGTTTAGCGTCAATGACCGTTAATGCAAGTTGATTTCAATCGGTTAGCTGACATATCCACCATAAAAAGAAGAAAAAGGCTGACTATTTTTTCATCTTAGTCTGAGATAATGGTGAGGTAAGCAAGATTTGCCTCATCACACTAACACCTATTTTTCATGATTGTTTACTTTCGTTTTCATTTAATTTTCTTACTTGAATTACCATTACAATGTAAGTAATGGGTATATATATATAGGCATGTATATACTTGCACTTACTCCATAGTCACTATTTACACGAAGACAATTTTTTTAAACACTTTTCATATTTTCTTTTCTATTAATTTTTGTTTACTTCAATTCTTTTTATTTATACAAGTGGTTTTTTGTTAATTTTTCAAATTTTTTTATATATATATTTTTTTCTAAATTTTATTATGCGAGCAATTACAACAGTGCAGCTGGCTTCCCTCATTCATACTAACGTAACACAGATTTCGTTGTATGTGAACTTCTTATATTTAACTTAGTTAACTACAATAAGTTAGTTTCAGTTTCGATTCATACGTTTTTATAATTTTTTCTTTTTTGTTTTTTTTTTTTGTGTTTCTTTTTCTTTTTCTTGTTTTTTTTTTTTTAATATAAACGCGTAGTATATATTTAGTATGTATTTAGTATTATTTTTGTTGCTATTTTACTTTTCACTTAATCAGTAGTTAATCTTGGTTAAAAATTTTTCGTCAAGCATTTATAACAACAATTAAGACAAATTATCTTAATAAAATTATATATCTTTTCATACATAAGAACATCTATACATGCTTTTCGAACACATACGCATTCTATTATAAATTTTGTTCGAAAATATTTTTTAAAGTATTATCTATCGCCACTGATATCAGAAAAATCAAAAAAAAATGTTTTACTTTTAATCCTAAACAATATTTATATTTATATATATTTATATTTATATATATATATATATATATACAGTAAAAGCTCCTTATTCGCGGAAGATACGTTCGAGAAAAACGCCGCGAATACAGAAACCGTGAGTCCGGAATGGGCCTATAGAGGATACGTTCCTAGGTGACAAAATAAAAAAAAATCAATTATATAAAAAATCAATTTAATTGAAGTTTTTGAACATTTTGATTAATTATCTTAAGGCTTAGACAATGGTTTGAAAAATTTTGTAAGCTTCTCTTGCTTGGCAGTTTTTAAAAGCTCCTTCAATTCAGACTGACACGCAGCAGTCGCACTAGCAGTTTGCCTTTTAAAAATAAGACTTCGCTCCGTAGACGGATCTATGTTCATAAAGAAATCGCCAAGCTCATTTACCAGTGCTTGAAGAAGCCTCTTCTTAAATGGGCTGCAAATTTAACATTTCCTCCAAGTCGCTTTCAGTCAAATCTTCATCTTGCGATTCAAGCAATTCCTGAATGTCATTTGATTCTATCTGTTCGAACCCATCTTGTCGTATTCCATTCGCGATTTCGGCTGTGTTTGCAGTCAAAGTTTGAACTTGCACAGATACTTTGTCATTTTCCCCAGTCAGAGCAGGCCAGAGTTTTTTCCATGACTTCATGATTTCAATATGTGTGGCTTCAGCTCTTCCAATAATTCTTTTATGTTTACGATGCATTTTGCTATGTCAAATTTCTTCCTGTGATAGAGCGTAAAGGCGTGGATTATTCCTTGGCCCATAGGTTGAAGCAAAGCCGTCGTGTTGGGAGGTAAAATTGTCACTTTTATATTTGGATGCATAGTTTCAAGTTCGCGAGGATGACCTGGTGGATTGTCTCAAACTAGAAGTGCTTTAAAGTCTAAATTCATTGTTTTGCAATAAGTTTCAACTTCAGAAACAGTATAATTCCGGGACAAGTCACAAAAAATCCGCGAATAAAGAAATTTATAGCCGCGAGTACTAGAATTGGGTCGCATTTTTTTCATTCGCGTATAGTGAAACCGTGAATAAAGGTAGCGCGAATAAGGAGCTTTTACTGTATATATACTGTATATATAAATGAAGGTTAAGATTTACGGAGGTCGTTGCACACTGGAAAGGGAAATAATTAAATATTAAAAAAAAAAAAATTTTTTTTTAATTTTGTTTTTAAGTTCCCTCTCTATCTCTTTCTGTCTATCTCTTTCTCTTTCTCTCTCTCGAGTTGAACAAATCTATTCAAAAAATATTTGCGATGCAAGTCCATAAGTCCATGAAACTTTATTAATGCTTCTATGTATAATAATATAATTATTTTTGTAGAAATTGGCGCAGGTGTAGTAACCACTGTTTACGTACCGCCTCCACTATCTTTTACAATTTATGCTCAATTCTTTCAATTCGAGTAAGTTATTATATAAATTAAACCTAATTGCATATGTGATGTGTTACATACGCAGCCATATCTTAACTGTTCAGTATAAGTAAGACACAGCGATTATCATTTGAAAGATAAGCATTAAAGATGTCGCCATTATACGAAGGTTACCAATCCGAACTCGCTCCGAGCATCATCTATCACGAATTGTGAAAACACCTCAATCGAACACACGTCAAGGATTCCGATTGAAACCAAATTATGTCTAGCGAATCGATACAAGAATCGCTTTAGAGCTACGAGCGATCATTTATGTCAAAAACAACTACAAGCATAGCATCAAGTAGTATTCAAAAAAACCCAAAAAGTGGTAGTTCATTTACTTCTCACTCTCTCTCTCTCTCTCTCTCTCTCTCTCTCTCTCTCTCTAGTAGTTTCGCGAACAAAAAGAGATCACAACAATCAAAAGAACAATAAATAAATAAACATAATGCACGAAAAGTCTCCCATAAGGACCACAACTTTTATATACACAACTGCAAATGCAATTGACTCGGAAAAAGTTCAATTGTTTCCATCACTGTGCAAACGCTTAATGCGAAAAACTTAACCAATTCGATTGAAGAAGCGGTGTACTTACTCGGCGATACGACTTTATTTGAGTTTTTCTTCCCGGGCAGTCTACAACGACCGTTTCGGAGGAAGCCTTTTAAAAAAATATTCACTGGATTTGTAGAACGCAATCTGCGAAAACTGTATGAAAGACTGGCCTAATCGATTCCAGCTTAATTGCACAGCACCAGTGAGCCCTGTAATGAACGGATCAGGTAAATTTTTGTTTGTTTGTTTGTTTTGTTATTTCAGGCACTTTTTACACAACTTGTATATGACCAAGAATTTGTAATTATATTATCATTTCTGTCGTATATATCATGCTGCAAGTACGCAAAACGCTTCTTCTAAAGTTCGCTATCTTTGCTAAAGTTTCCTAATATCTAAATCTAATAAAAAAATACTATAATCAGCTCTGGCCCAGTATTAAGTGCCCTACACTACTTTGCCTAACACACTTGTTCATACAACGGCTTGCAAAGCAAGGCGGCATATGAAAAGCAAAGCACTTTTATTAGCGATCGTCCTTCGCCCAAAACCCGTTAGTGCACCCAAATTTCATCAAAATATCTCAAAAATTACGGCTAAAGCACCGGCTAAATTAAAGCAATTCACCAAAAAGTATGTCTGTCTTAAGTCATTTCCCAAGTATTGTGATAGATCTGCATACGTGTTTATATACCCCTAAACCGACAGTAGCGCAAAGTATAAATAGAAAGCAAAAAGTTCTTCAATTTCTATACCCAGTGTGGAGCAAAATTTCCTTTTTCAAGAATTTTCATTAGTCAGGTGCCTAATGCAAAGCATGTATTTCGTTGCCCAATCGTTGCCGATTGACGTTCATAGTTGAAGCTTGTCATTTGTATCTTTATTTGAATTGATGCATAAATCAAAAGAAAAAATAAAAACAAATCCGGCCCGATCGCAATCACATTCATCATGCATAGCCCAAAAAATGTAACTTGTAATCTAGAGTAGATAATATACTAAAGCTTGAAAACTATTTATAAGCATCATTTTTTTAGCTTCCTTGCGACGGGTATGGTCCTCCTATTAACATTCCTATAGCACTCATTACTTTTCAGCCTGTAGAAGATGTATATATACATATATATATGTGATTATCTACAAAGATGGACCAGATGGCCACCAAGTCAGCCACCAACATCTATCCATTGAAGACGGCCGGAGCAATGATTTACCGTGAGGCAAATAGAAGTTTGCTCATTGCTTCCAATCGAAATTTCTCGCACAATTCGTGCGCCAGATTTTAATGCGAAATCCCATTTGCTGGGAGAACAAGAAACGACGAACAAGAAATCGCTACAGACTGCCGGGCTAATCCAAAACAAACGTTCTAAAGTATCTCCAGGGCATATATTTTGGTTCAACGAGTACGTGTGCAATGGCGCCTGAACAGATAATAAACTTTTAATAGTCGAGAATGTACCAGCGTATGCTCTAGAAACTCTCGTATTAACTCGTGTAATAATTAATGAATTTTTTGCAAAATTCATTTTAATAACTTTAAAAACGCCATCTATTAGTATATTTATTTCTTTTATTTCAAAGAATGAAAATAAAGCTTTGAATGAAACTTTAGAGGTGGATGTACATGGAAAAGACATTAGATAGTATTATGGAACTTTTACTTTAAAAATGCTAAAGAATTGTATTCTATAATCAAAGCAACGCGTATAGGAGTTGTGCTTTTTGTATGAGTCACATCATGTGATAAGGTCTACATGAAGACAGCATAAAAAAACGGTCATAGATATTTACCAAACACCCTTTCACATATTTACTAGTAACCTATACAAACGTTTAGATGGCTCTGACTTTTATTTTTCTCACTACCTACTACCTACGTAAACGTCGCAGTGAATGAAATGAAAATTTCCCATAAGTATTCTTAACAGTTTGAGAATGGATAGGCGTCCTTAATAGGCGTAAAAGTGTAACTTATAACACATAACAGATATTAATCTAAAATTTGCTATGAATATTTCGCAAGATCATCTAAAAGAGATCTAATCGACTAGGTCACACGTGCGCAATTAATAATTGGTATCCTAAGAGGCCTTCACTTGAAAGTGGGTCAAGCTCATTTTTTGTCATTGCAAGACTTTTAAAGGCTTGCATAAATTTAACAAGCAAAAAACTTTTACGAAACCATTGAGCTCTCGATAAGCAAAGCTAGGTCCGCGCTTGGTTTTATAAAAAGGTAGTCCAAAGAGCTTGATGATCCCTATATTACTAAAAGCGCGGTACATGTGTTTGGTTAGACCCATACTCGAGTATGGCTCTCTTGTGTGGTCTCCTTCATATAGGTGCTATGTAGATTCAATTGAATCTGTTCAAAAGCAATTCTTGCTGTTTGCCTTTAGAAATTTGGGTCGGGATCCGATTGCCTCTCTTCCTCCCTATGAAAATAGATTGCTTCTGCTGTCCGTACCGTCTCTTGAGAAACGTAGGTTTGTTCTTGGCGTTTCCTTTCTAATTAAAGTAATAAATGATGCTATTGACTTGCCTTCGTTACTTGGTGAGATAAGCTTTAATGGCCCTAACCGCTTCTCTAGGCACTTTATCTTGGTTAAGCTTAGTCAGTGTAAATATAATTACGAGCTGTTTAATCCGCTCAGAGTAGTTTGCAAGAACCTAAACGACGTCTATCACTTATTCTCGTTATCGGACTCTTTAAAGTCCATTAAAACAACATTGCTTAATACGCGCGATTTACCTATGTCTTACCTAAACTAGCTTTTATCCTTAAAAGTCGTTATGATTGGAAAATGAATTGTTGTTAAGTATTATCGGTTGGCAGCCTTATGGATGTGTGCGATGGCTTAGGGGTTCATTTGCAATTTGGTCCTGTACCGGTTGTAAGTGTGGCTCTATGCTGGTTGTGTACATGCTTTTTTTCTTTTTTCTTTTTTTTTCCTTCTTATTTGTTTTATTGTACTTATACTCAGTTTTATTATTAATTTAATATAAGTTTTGCTTTAAGTGCCAATCGAACTCGGCTGTTATTTGTTTAGTTGAGTTTCATGTATAAGTAGAATTAAAATAAATAAATAAATAAATAAATGACGCACCAATAAATTTCCTATAGCACTTCGCTTAATAAAGTTTTTCATAGAGTGACTTTTCAAAATAATGCGTTATATGGAACGCGGTCGAAAAATTGCTATGAATGGAGCAGTAGCGGAATAGCCTTCGTGCTTACGTCAAATCATGTCGGTCTACCAAATTTCATCGAAGTATGTTAAAATTTGCTAGACGTAGGTTAAGAAAACAAGAATATCAAATGAACAGACGGATAGACACAAGCTTACCTCAAATCAGAAAGTGATTTTGAATCGGTCGTTGCACCCCATCTATGAAGAATATAAAATCATTCAAAAGCAATGACAGATGTATTTTTTGAATTTTATGAATTCTTCGAAAGCGTTTACAGCGCTGTCTAAAACAACTAAAGGTTTTATTGCATTTGACTTACCTCTAAAATGAATCATTTATTCTAATCGTTAATTAAAGGGATGACTTTTCAGTTGTATCAGCCTTTTTCCAAAATAAAAACAAAAAGTTTGATCCAACATAGATTTGACCAATTCGCAGTTTCTCTAACGGTATTTTCTTCGGTTTTAAAACCGCTTACCACAACGGCTGAATTCACTTTATAGTAATCCTGGCGCTTATACAGGGAATTGGTTTTCAAAATGGCCATTTCTAGCAATAGTTTGATAAGAAGGAGAATATCTTGACAAGAAAAATTTGTGATCATAACATGACATTTATTTTATTGCCATTGTATCCAAAGTAGGGATAAATTTATATTTCTATTGTGAACAATGCATATAATGCACAACAAGGTATAATGTGCTTTTGGATTCTCATTGCAAGTTCTGGAAAGCACTTCAAGCGACACGGTGCTCTATCTTGTGATCCTTGATATACTAAGGATTCCTCCAATCCGATTATACATATTGATCATTATGAATATAGCGGAAGCCTTAAGTCAATACATGCATGCTCCCTTTATAATATTCATTTGGCACTGTTCTTTGCAGCATAAGATGAGCTTGTCTCACTCTCAACATAAGTATATTTACAATGCCGTTAAAAGCTAAAACTGCGATCTTCCAAATAAATACTAAGAAATCTTAAGTTTTTTGATTATAAATTCATATATATTTTTTTTCAGATATATATCGTTTGTTGTTACGCCATCCGCCTGAGTGGCCGAGTAAGCAAAGAGTCTCGACTAGCAACTCAATGGTCGTGGGTTCGAATCTCAAATGCGGTAGAATTTTTAATAAAGCCGAAAGCCTTAGATGCTAGTACTTTAAAAGTTTAGTCTTACAATTTGCTCTCTGCCTAAATTAATAATAATCATAATATTGTTACATATATATTTAGGTTGTGACAACTATATATCGGTTCCCAAGTTGGATAACAACCTTTGTTGTGGTATGAGAATATACTTGATATCTTATTACGTTTATAATATCAAGCAATGCTATCTGCATATATAGCGCATGCAAATATGTACAGCGTAAGATTACCAATAAGATTCAATCGTGTCCGTCCAATTGGCAATTAATCTCTTGCCTGACATTGAAAGCTCAGTAAATGATTGTATGTCGAAGCAATTGGGTTACAAGCGCGCGCGCTTTCCACAGAAGATATTAAAATAAAAAACACGCCCTCAGTTAGCGAGTTACATTTCAATACTAATGCGTTGATCTTTGCTCGACGGTATTAATGTTTCGCATCTAAACGAATGTAGTTTTTGTTACTTACCACCTAAGACCCTTAATTTCAATTTGTTTCAAATTCTGGAAGGTGGTGTTCAACTATCGTATCGTATGAGTAACATTTATAAATAAAAATGTTCAACACAATTTTGTACGTCTTTTGGCTCTTCCATTCGCTCTTAAATTAAGAAAACGTTATAGTTGTTCTTCTCCCACCAAGCTAGTAGGCCATATATCCATGTATTATCAAACGATTTGATAATGGCATTTTCTTTTTAGGTAGTGTTAACTACGACCGTCATATGAATTCCGCGAACTTAGAAAAGTTTCAAGTCAGCTTTTGAATTAAAAAAAAAATGTCTTATATTAACGATAAGTAGAGATATGTGAATCGAGCAGGGAAGAGTTTCACGTTGATTTAATACGTAGCCGTTTTTGCCTAAATGACGAAAGCGATTAAACGAATCGCTTAAAAGAGAATTGAAAAATTTTGTAAATATTTATCCAAAGTGTTGAATTAACACTCTTTAGACCGATGCAGATGCAAAAACTCTCTATGCAATCGATACCTAAGTAATATTTTTCCGAGCGCAAAGGTAAATTGGGTAAAGTACATTTGCTTGCTTAGCTCTAGTTATATTTATACGTATATACGAGTAAGTATCTAGCCATATATATATATATATATATAAATAAATATAAACGTTTCTAATTTTCTCTTCTTTTCTATACTCTCTCTCTCTCTCTCTCTCTCTCTCTCTTTTTCTCTCTCTCTCTCCCTTTATGCTTCTCTGTCAATCTGTGAATAAACAAACAGACAGTTCCCTTTAAAACACCAGAACGTAGATTATATTTAAAGAAAATAAAATGCTTTTAGTATTTATTTAAAACTAGATACCTGTAGTAACTTAGGGAAACAGATTTCGAATGAAATAGAAAAAGTTAGACAGAAATGCTTACCTGGGGATACACTTTACAGTAATATTGCAATATTTTGCATAAAGAACTCTTTAAGATAAAAATTGACATAGAAATATGCATGCGTATGTATAAAGAAATGACTAAATATGAAATTTAATTTATTTAGTTTTAGGAGAAAAACTTTTATATAATTTATGCATAAAAAACGGGTAGAAAACTATATTGTACAATGAATTAATTCGTTTTTAATTTGTGCTTGTGTTTTCATATTAATTCTTTTATTTTCCTTTTTTTTTTTTCATTCTCCAATTAAGAAATAATAACATAGACAAACAGCAATTTCCGTGTGTTTCGTTAAATTAAGCAAAAAAAAAAAAAAAAAAAATACAAAAAAAATACAAAAAAAATACAAAAAAAATTATTAATAATCACTCCATTGTGTGCATCCGAAGTCAATAACAATTTACGGCCAGTAAATGGGATTTTCAGTGCAGGTAATTGCAGGAAAATATTATGTGAAATCGATTACATAATATTATAAACAATCTACTATAATTATATTTTGATATGTAAATAATATATGAAAACATATATGTAAAGGTTTTCGAAACACTTACAGTAGTGCATTAAGCCTATCAAGTGCGCAAGTAAATGCGTGGCCAGCTATTAATTATGCATACAATTCGCTTTTTAATAATTATATCGACCATTGCATGTGGTCGAGCTATGTCAAATTGTGTAGTGATAGCGAGTCGTAAGCGTTAAAGACATCAGCAATGCAAGTCGATTAAAGAAACACAGTTTCCTGACGATCCTCTATTTATCCGCTTCGTTTCTTTACGAGTCATTTGCGCAGTCTTTTTCTACGCAAATAGCGGTCAAACATAACCTCAACATGTGCGATAATAAGAAAACTCCTCACGGTTTCCCTTAATAATAATAAAATCGATGAATTCATTGATTACATTTAGCACTTCCTACAAAGTAATGCAAAAAAACTTCATCACTAATTAGAATTTCACAGTCATATAATAATTTTTTTTTCTTTTTTATATGTGCTGCTCATACTCTTGAAATTGAATTGAACGCTTAACCCACTGCTGGCCACCGAAAAGATTGCAAAGCAACAATTTGGCTTCGCGTCTTTTTAAGAAATAAGACAAGGCATAAAGGCCTTGTAACTGCTTAGGCTGTTTCTGATCAAAAATTCACCAAACCTTGTTGCCATACGCTTTACATTTAAAGCAACCGAGAAAATATTTTGAAAAATTCTGTTCAAAATCTTCTATCAAACTATTTAAAGTGCGTAAGGCGGCAAGACTTGCTAAAGTTTGTCACTAACTTTGGTCGTCTCAAGGTCTGTTGATCCACATCTACAACTATAAATCGATTAAACAGCTTATGCACAATAAGAAGCGATATAACGACACCGCGAAGAATCTATGTTGCAAGGTTTTCAAAAATGCTGCATTAGTTTTTAAAAAAACGTTATTCATAAAGCAATTATATGCATATAGAAAATAATTCTGAATCGGTCGGGTGTTGCATACATCCGCGCAAAGTTAATATACCCTTGTACTATAAGTGGTGTGAGCTACAAAAAAAAAAATAAATAAATAAATAAATTTACACTTAGTAAGTTCTGGAACAAAAAAACGAGATACGTATTTCCATATTATTTTTTTTTTTTCATATCCACCAGCGCAGCATGAAGGTTGTATTCACTCTGTCATTTATTTGCAACATCCAGAAGAGAGCATACCAAATTCTGAATGGGTTTAAATAAGTCCGTCTGTCCATCTGTGCCTAATGCCTGTGCTAGACATCGAGAACGATACTATTAGCTACAAATTTGGCAAAACCACGAAGTTCTTGCACGAAGGTTGCTATTGAAAATGGGTCAAATGGACCAAAGCCCACGCCTAACATAAACTGGGTTTTTCACCCACCCCCCTCGGACGTTTTTTTTTTTTTGATAAATATTGTTCTCATAGACGACCCAGCCACAGCCGAACATAATTTTCTTACATGTTGTTCAGTTCAAATGATCGATATTTTACAAAATTTGGAAATTATTCTCTTGAATGCTTTAGCATTATAACCAACGATTCATATTTGCTTTGTTTTGTTTTTTTCCATTTTAATTGAAAATCAATTACGTGACTAAGTGGCTACAACTAAAGCCTGATTCCTTTATTTAAAGTTCTAACGTCTCGTTGTTTGTGCTGTTGTACTTTTTTTAATTATTTAGTTATTCCAAACATATTTTTTGCATGAAAACTATTCATAATTTTATTAAGAAACACGATTCATATCATTAACGTCACCGCTTACTCTCTTCGCATAAATTATTTAATTGCAAATAAAAAGAAAATTGCATTGAAGAATCTTGGAGCCCCATCACCCCAAACCAATGGCCCGAAAAGGTATACATTTAAACGATATTTCAGATCAATCATTGCTATAAGTTATAAATTATAATTTTTTACTTATGCTGGGCATTGTTATACCTTATTTCAAACTAACATCCCCGAAGCCCTTAAGACAAGAATTGACAGAGAGGTTAGGTTTCCGATCATTTTCAAAAGAGCCCTCGCAACTATACTATGCTCTAAGGTATTGGACATGCCATTATCGGCGTTAGACTACGGTAAAAGTCGACTCATTAAAGTACAAGTAACTTATTTATTTTTATTTTTATTTTGAGCTTTAAATAGATTGACTTATGCGAGAAAAAAAACAACATGCGGGCGCTACTTAATCGTGATAGGTGAAGAGAAAGGAATGCGATGCGATATTCGGAATGTAAAGAAACCATAGTTGAGGCCTATAGCAAACTTTATTAAGAACATGCTCGCTCTAGTGAAAATTTCAGAGTGTTACACACAGACTGAGGAACCTAGCATACCGAAATTCTTCGTTGATGGGTAGGAGAACAAATCAAAGATTTCTATTTGTTTCTAATGCATTAATTACTTATCTAAATATGAGATATTAACAGCAATTAATGGCAAACAACGCTCTTACAAGGTTTCATTATATATGAAAATACATATCATTTAAAATAATATATAAATCAACTCACAATTAAATTCGAATACAAAATGATACATTTTTACTCAATCCTCTACTAAAATCAGCTGAATACAACTGTGTTCAAAAAGTAAGACCAATCTCCATTTATTTGAACTCGAAACAGTTGCTTGCATTTCTTTCATCGAGTCGAAACGTTGTCCGCGCAGTAGCCTCTTGAGTTTAGGAAACAGCCAGAAGGCACATGGGTCTAATGAATATGATAATTATGGAACGCTATAGTTTGAATTTTTAACGAAAGCGTCTCAACGAACCATTGCAGAAATTGATTGTTTGTGGCACCAATCAATATTTGATGCGTCTCATGCGGAAGATATCTTTCAAAATGTTGTTAAATGATTCGTTTGAAATACCCGGGCAGCACCAGGGAGATCTTTCGGGTTGTTGAGCATCGAGTCTTTAATATGTTTGACGTAACTTTCATCGGCGGAGGTTTATAATCGTTCCGGACTGCTCTTTACCATCAATCTGTTCCCCGTCCTCTTATTCTACTCGTAAAAATCGGAAAATATATTTCTGTGGCGTACGAAACGTAGCGCAGCTGAAGCACTAAGGGCGCGCAATTTCACTTGACTGCTGAATATTGAACCTACCGCTTGAAGATAGCATTCTATTTAAAACGCAATCACATAAATATTTTCATTAGAAAATATTACAAAAGGTTCGTAAGGATTCGTTTCGTAAATATTTCGGGATCGCTTAGTCTCCTTTCTTTCCTCTTAAAAATCGCATACACATAAGTTGATTAACAAAAATGAAAAACCTTACACGACCTAGAAAATTTCATGTGGGATTTTCCGACCAACCACTTCAAGTTTGGAGAATAATAAAAATTACACTGTTTCTCCAATTTCATTTAAAAGTGAACACTCTGACGGATCGCGCTCGAAACAGTCAATACATTTTATGGATCATTGGCTTGACAAGACAATCTTGATAATCAAAATCATCAGTTGACGCAATATAATTCCCAGTCCATGTAAATCTCATCCAATTTCAATTTTTGAGTCAACGCTCACGTTTTATGCTCTCGTCCTTACGCCGTAAATTGATCGTAAAATGTTCTAGATTTGAGGAAGGCGTGTAACGGATTAAAATTGATCTGAACGTACTATCAATTTATTCGCGTATTCTTATCTAAGAAACATAAGTATATTACATATGCTTTTGCTGGATGCTGCGTAGCAAAGAAATAAACTTAAGCATAAAATGTGACTGATATGTCACTCATTGTATAATTTAAGTCTATTCTAGGTGCTTGCTTGTATTTTGATCATTTTTTCACTTGAAGAAAGCATTTATTAAGAAAAATTAGTACAATATAAATTAATCGAAATATTTTCTACAACTTTTTGCCATCTTTCTGCAAACATGGCGAAAGGTGTAGAAGGACTTCAGTGCGTCCTTGACCGCTCTTGCAATGTCTGACAACTGCAGTGGCGGTTTCATTCGGTTTTAGCAGCTCGTAACTCACACTACACTGAGATCGGTAAGGTCTCACCATATGCACAGAAAAACGGTATGACCGTGAATACTCCACTTCGGTCTCCAAGTAAATGGTTTGTACGGGCTAACTCATAATTTTTTGTCCTTGGAATTGATGTAGAAGGATCACCCTTGCTCACCTGCCACAATACGCCACAGAAAGCTTTTTTTTCTTCTTCTTCGAAATATCATTTTCAGTCCATTTGTACAGAAACCATTTTCCGTCGCTTGTAAACTTCTAGAAACAGTTGAGTCATCAACTGCTACGCTGTTCGAAAGTTCTTTGAGACCTTGAGCTCGGTCTTCATCCCACAAGTCCTGCAGTTCATTGTATTCGAGTTTTTTTTGGTCTTCCAAGCCGTTCCTTGCTATTCACAACAAAAAAATCGTTAAAATTAAAGCCGACAATTAGACGATGATAAGGCAGTGGCACCGTCAGCTGCCGAAAGTCTTTGGTGGGCATCGTCGGCAAAGTTATTTAAATTAAACAACAAAAGTAATGAACGTCGGAAGTGCAACTTTGAGCGTCCCATGGTTAGCGTCTGTATGTACTGAATAAAGCAATAACACTTTTTATGTAGAGAAAGGTCAAAATCATCGAATTTGTCCGTCGTGTACATTGATGCTTTGCAATATTTTATGATTTCCACCAATAGATATCGCTGATCAGAATACATGCAAGCATCTATTATCGACGTTGTTCACGAATAACTTTCTCATGTCTAGTATTAGTAGCGAGAAGAGAAATCCTAATGCGTCCCAAAGAAAAGAAAAAGGTAAAAGTAAAATAAAAAATTCAAATGTACTTAAATTGAATATTTTGAAACCTACAAGACGGGTTTTGGTTTGAATCGTCTTCGAACAAGCAAGGAAGGCTAAGAATAAAAGAACATATTGTTACGAATTCCGTAAAGCGCGTAAAGCGTAAAGTTATCAATGTCCGTCCATCTGGACTTGCAATAGTCGCTTCCAAAGCCGTAACAAATTCTAAGTATATCTGAATATATTAAGAAAAGGAAAAAAATCGTAAAAATTGAAAAATTTCAAAACATTGTTGCTAATAATTTTCATTGCATAAAAGTTAGCAATCTAAAGTTGGTTATATACGTTTATTACAATTAACTGAAAACGCCCATCATTTTTGCCATAAATATGTATTTACTTATCTCTGACATAGATGAGAAGAAGCTAATTAAGACTTAATTTAATATCGTTCTTGATGTAAGCGCTACTTATCGATTTACGCTAATTAAAAATGTCTACAGCTTTCGAATAGATGTTCATTATAGTTGCAAACATTTAACAAAACTATATATATGTATATAGAGGCTTAGAGTGAGGAATATAAGAGCATAACAGCTGCAGTATGAACTTTGAACGTAAGTGGAGAAAACGAATATGATGAACTAGATATAAAGGTCCATGAAAACACTGTTAAAAAAAGTGAAAATTATATAATCAGACAACGTCGGCAAATAAATACCGTACCGTTATTTAGTTAATTAATCATAACATGCATCTTAATTGCATTACTTATATAGTAAAAAGTCTTACGCTCTGCTACCTGCGAGGGAATGCGAAACGTAAGGAGTAGTGGCCTTTATCTAGCAAAAACTCATCTTATTTTTTTTCTCAAAGAATTTATTATTCATCTCTGGCTTACGAGGTACACATTGCTTCATATAAAGCTTTTCATGAGACTTCTTGAATTGAGAGAGACTCGAAAACGGGACTTTGTGGCCGACTTGGTGCAATATGTCATCATCATTATATTGGGGAGATTCAAAAAATACTCTCACGCCAAATCAAACTGATATAACCAAATATCTTCAAAATCGTTTAGTTTACGAGAAGTCTCCGTCAAATAGTCCGATTATGTCCATTTTCAATAGCATACATCTTTGAGCCAAAACATGTCAATCTACCAAATTTCATCAATATATCTCATAAATTGTAGCCTATAGATTGAACATGTGAATCGGGCAAACAGACGAACAAGCGGCAGGTATAATAAATCGTGACTCCTCCATCTCAAGTAAAAAATTTAACATGGAAACTCAATCCCAAATCGTGTAATATATAGAAAATAAGCAGAACAGTAACTAGATGAATCCATGATACCTATCATCTTAAATGAATACATACGCCGACTGTTTAGGGGCGATATTTGAACTAATCCCTGATTAATCATATATTTAGATAAAGTTTTCTTGAAAGCTGCAGAATACAGCCTTTTCTTCTTTGTGGGCATATGGTACACGCAACGCAATCACTTTTACCTTTCAAATAATTATGCTTGATGAACTGATCAGAGGGAATAGAACCCAAAGCAGATGGGCAGTATTAAGTCGATTCAGACTTTTAGTCTAATAAAGCATATATACGGATTTCTACTTATTAAAATCGGTATAACGTCGTTTTTTGCTGTAGAGATACCTCTTTTGCCCAACGCCTAATAATTTATATGCCTTACAACTTATAGGCCATAGGTGTATTACCTAGTTGCATATATACATTTAATGGGGGGGTATACAAGTCAGCTAGATGGCATTAGCTATAGCTGCTCTTGCTCAATAGACTCCGCAATCATCAATTCCTACCAACAACAAAGTATACACTATAAGTCTAGCAGTTAAACGTAAAGAAATAATCATCGAAAGGTTTCACATTCAGTTGAGATGTGTTCAGCCGACGAGTTAGAGAAACGAGGTATTAATATGAAAGGATTTTTTATTCGATCTAGGAAAGTGCAGTCATTCAATTAGAAGGCTCTCGAGGGGATCGAGTGTGAATGATTTTGCAGAGGTAAATAATCATTCACGCAGTTTGAAGGAATCGAGAAAGGAGAGGAGGAAGCATGAAGCATGAGGAGTTATGGTCTCCAAATTTGACGCTATAAACAAAACGTGTTATACGGTTAACAATACTTGGAAGCCTATATAAGTTATACTTTGGGCACCCAGACAAAACTTCAGTACACAAGTTAAGGAAATGCACAATGGTATACTTAACCTTTAGCGACAGATATCGTTTTAGATTGCACTATTTTCAGAACGTAGGGCAGACTTCAGCAAAGGCATTGTCAATATTATATATATGTTTATATTTATATTTTTAAATATTTATAAATATTTATATAAATATTTTATCAAATATGCGTTACCTTGATGTACACAATACGTAAAAGTGACTTACACGTGTTTATGTTAGTTTGTTTTACATTTTATCTTTATAATGTTTAAGAAACTATCATTTTTGCAAATTTCGAAGTCGCACCAAAGACATTCGCAAACAAAATCACTTTCGTTTTTTTTCGTTTTTTTTAAACGAGTATTCTAAGATGATCTAATGTTATTAATGGCCTAAATGATAAGATATATTATCTTTCTTATATAAAAAAAAGAAAAAAGAAAAAAAAAAAAAATATATATATATATATATATCTATTTTATACTCTTAATGCTTGATAGTGTTGTTATATTTCATTTATTATATCGTATATTATATATTAATAATTTATGTTTAGAATTCAGAAACCGGTGAAGTGGTTTACATACAATCAGATACGATGACTGTACAAACTCAGCCATATGATGCCGAAACGGGTGAACCGATGTTGGATAAAGTTCGAGTGCGTTACATAAAACAGCAGCATTTTCAAATACCTAAGAAACTGATACGCGGCACAATTGGCGAGGAATTTGAGAAGAAATTGCAAGGTAAACACCATGAGTGCTATCAAGAGCCCGGCATAGTCAAAATAATCAAGGAGACGAAACTAAATCGAGACTACCGCAGAAAGTCATTTAAAGCTAAACGCAATTCTAAAAAACTGAAATATAAACGAGACGACTACATGAATATGGAGGGCGTATCAAATGTAAGTTTTTCTATTTCTTTTTATGTTTGTTTGTTGATCGTTTTCCTTTCTCTCCAGGATATTATTTTGGCCTATAATAAATCGAATTATCGTATTCTTTTGATACCCACACTATTCTGTTTCAATATATATGCGGCTCTGGTAGTCATGCTGATCGAACTCTTTTTTCATATATGGGCGCATTTTAAGAATGGTCTAAACATGGACAAGAATATTTATTATCGTAGTCCATTGCATGTGGTTACTTCGCAATTTTGCGGTAAATGTCGCTCGGAATCCGATTTATCCATATTTCAGGCCTTAAACAAGCAAATGCGTAACGCAGCTCGCAAATCGGCCACCTTGAAGGATGTTAGCAAAGCAATCAGTTGAAAAACTCAATGCCTTTATATTCAGCTAAGGCCTAATATTTTGATTTATGCTATTTTCACTCAAATTTTTCAAACATTCGTTATTCTTATGTATTTAGTATACCGACAAAAGAAATGTACAATGAATTTCTTCCAATAAAAAGTGAAATTTTAATTTTTCTATCCATCCGAACACATTTGTGTAACTTTTAGCAGATCTAGTACGGAATCTTTTCATTGGGATTTATTCTCTGCTTTCATCTAATTTCTTATACTACGCGTTTATCGATTAATATTTTTTTTGTACGCTACGCGTGACGGCGAAAGCCAGAAAAAGGCAAAGTTGAGAAAGAGAATGATGTAGGGAGGTCTGTGTGCCCTTAACACTCGCTATACGTATAACCGAGAAAGAAAAAAAAAGCTCTACCACGATGAGATTTGAACCGGCAAACACTTGCTTGTTAGTCGCGCGTGGTGGAACAAGAGTTTTGAAAAGTTTAAAGAGGATTTCTGAAAATACATCACGGGGCATTTTTGTGAATAGTTTTAGTACCGTTTTAAGACAAAGTAGGACACATGTGTGCTTTTAGCATAAGCGGCAAAAATAAATCTATTTATTCGGATCAAGTGTGATGAGTGTAGCCTTCAATGAAAAGCTCTATATTTGTGCATATGTCTCCGTACATGCATCAACTATCGTAACTTTGCACCTTTAAACAATTTTATATGATAGCCGCTATAAGTTGCGACTTATTAATGAAAATTTATTTATATCTTCAATTTTCCTTACCTTTTTTAAAATCCCTTTACCTTTTGCACAGTAAGATCATATTAATTTTCAATCCATCGCGAGTCTTACAATTTGAAGAGTTCCGTCCGACTGACCGACTAATTTTCTGCTTAAAAAGTCACAAATATTACTTAAGAAAATGTGGTGGACTAGAGCGGAGAAATAGTAAAACAATAACATTTAAGAAAATTATATTCGATCATGACCGCATCTTTTATATCCATGGCTGTTGTACTAAAAAAGGCTAGAAAAAAACTAAATTTGGATTAGCGCGAATAATTTTTTATATTTTCAGAATAAAAGTGGCAACTTATACGGAAAACAAAGATGTTCACAAGTTCTACTACTTAGGCATGTGGACGTTCTAGGCTTGTCGTCTGACCGGTTCGGGTCACTTTAAAAGCCTTTTTCAAATTTGTAGGCGATCTCTGGTTTTGCGAACGGGGCATTGTTCATCACGCTCTCTTCCAGACCTTCGCAGACGGATAGATGGACAGACGAACAGACGGCCATGTCGAATTTGAAACTGGCCAAGAATTTATATACTTAACGGGCTTTTTGAAGCTTGCTTCTGCGATTTACAAAGGTGTTGAGGAAAAATCGAAATTTGATACACCATAATATTAGCTACGCGTGGTCACTTTTCTTATGATTTTTTTCCGAGTACTACAGCATCGCTCACAGCATAAAAGTTTAAATTTTTTCAAATTTATTTGGCATAGTTTATGAGAAATCAGCGAAAAACGATTTGTTTATTCGAAGCCATTTTGTCGATAGCTTCACTTTTGCGGTCAGGGGAATGTTTACAACACACATTACACCGACGGACAAACGGACATGCTTAAATCTATTCAGAATTTGATGATGATCAAGAGGACGTATACTCTGTGGGGCCTCTGAGGCCTCTTTCTGCACGTAAAAGGTAAAAAAATTGTTTAAAATTTTTCAAATTCTTAGAATTATATGAGAAACTGCTTTAACTTCAAAAACCATTATAGAATTTTTTTTTTTAAAGAATTTTTGCATTATTTCGCAACAAAAAGAAAAAATTTATTTATAATTTTCTTTACACAACTCAAAAAATAAATGCAATTTTATGTTCAAATTTTTCCTATCACATCACTTTTGGAACCTAATCTACTATTTCGAACCAATTGTGTTTTTTTTTTTCCTTATGGTCTAAAACTGAGATTGATGGTGTGTTTCGTACATGAATTCATGAAACTTTCTAAAAAATTTTTGCTAAAAACTAAAATAAACAAAAATCGCTTTTTGAGAAAATTTAGGTACAAATTAACCATCAACTTGGGACATTTTCTTAAGATCAGCGGAAACGTCGAATTTAGCACTTGTGCAAGTTTTTATGTCATCGACCGTGAAACCATCAGCAATTTCGGTAAGAGTCATGCCAACGCCCTTGTCAACTTTAAAAACAGCCTAGAGTTGAAAAAGAAATGTGTAAATACAACAAGACAAGGAATTAACAACAAAAACATTAGACATTAAAGCGGACCTTTTCGGTTATTATCAAATCCACCACACTTTTGCCCGTTAACGGCAATGAGCAGCTTTCCAAGATTTTTGATGAGCCATCGCGAGCATTATGTTCCATAGAAACTACGACTTTTGTACCAGGAGCTGCCACCAAATCCATAGCGCCACCCATACCTTTCACCAATTTACCCTAAATATAAATACCGAACGTGGATGCAAAGACAACTTTACCAGGTAAATTTAATCGAATCGATTCAGGATATTCGCATGTTCCTTACCGGTATCATCCAATTCGCCAAATCTCCTGTAGCTGATACTTGCATAGCACCCAAAATGGTCAAGTCCATATGCCCG